CCTCCCCCCGAAACTGTGTGATGCATTCGCCGGTTGCCGGTTGTTGTCCGGCGGCAGCCGTTGGCGCGCGTGGGAGGGGAGGGGGCAGGGGGCTGGGATAAGGGCTGGGGCTGGGTGAAGGGGTATCACGGTGGGGGGTCACAACACTCCACGCAAGCCGTGTGCGGAGGAGGGGAAACAGGTTGGAGACGGCGCGTGGACCAGAGGGAGGGCGCATTCGTATAGCATGCTCGTCACCGTCTATGTCCAGGTCAACGAGGGCGACGAGCTGGTGTCGGCCAAGGTGACGCTGAAGGACGACCAAGGTCTAGCGCAGCAGGGCCCGCGGCTCAAGATCAAGTTCCGCAAGACAGGGCACGACTTTAAGTCGGCTGCCTTCTGGGAACCAGCCGCCGTCTATGTCTGCGATTCGGATGGCAACGTTGTAGGCGCAAAGTACTCGCCCGACTCTCCGTTGGAGTCCATCGACTTTAACCACCGCACCCAGACCCTTCTCATCTCCTACAACCAGTCGCTAGCAGGCGAGCCTGACCCTGAACCCGAGCCCGAGCCCGAGCCCGAGCCTGAGCCCGAGCCCGAGCCCGAGCCCGAGCCTGAGCCCGAGCCCGAGCCCGAGCCCGAGCCTGAGCCCGAGCCCGAGCCCGAGCCCACCCCCGAACCCGAACCCGAGCCCGAGCCTACCCCCGAACCCGAGCCCGAGCCCACCCCCGAACCCGAACCCGATCCCACTCCCGAGCCCGAGCCCACCCCCGAGCCCACTCCCGAGCCCACCCCCGAGCCCATCGCTGCCCCCCCGCCAACGATCATTGCGGGCGACGCTGACGAGGACGAGTATGAATCGGCTGACGACGAGATTGGCGGCTCGGTGTCCGACTCGTCGTCGTCGGGTATTGACGTGGCGGGAGGGGTGCTCAACGTGCACGCGCTGTCGGCGTTTGACGGCAGCTCATCTCTCGGCCCACCGAAGCGATCGTCGGGCCGCGGTGGGTCCACGAGTGCGCGCTCAGAGACGACGTCGTACGTGCCATCGCTCGCCGTCTCGACGGCAGCTGTGTCGACTGCGGCTGCAGTCGAGCCCGACGCTCGGCTTGACCATATCTTTGACATTGCCGTCAATGCGGCCGTTGGCCTTGAGCTGCTGCGTGAGCGCGAAGAGGCTGAGCGCGAATGGATTCAACGCAAGGCCTTTGAAGTGATTGAGTCGCGCATTGCCAACGAGAAGGAGGCCGCCAAGCAGCTGGAGTCAGACCAGAGCGAGTATCTGAAGGCGCTGCTGCTCCCGCCGTCGCCGGGCTCGCCGTCGCCCATCAAGCGCGCATCGCCTCGCAAACGCATCGCTCCCAAAGCCCGCGCTGACCAGACCAAGTTCACCGCCGCCATCGACGCCCTCACCCTCCAGTTTGAGAACCTGGCCGAGGAGGTCATGAGCCTCACATCGTTCATCGCCGATCCAGGTACAAACCCCAACCCGTACGAGCTGGACCCGGCTGTCCACGCCGAGGCGAGTGCTGCCGCCGCCGACGCTGCCGCTTCCGCCGCCCACCGCCCGGCGAACAACTCAACCCTTTACGAGTTTGACGCCTTCTCCGACACCTCATTTGCCCTCGACGAGCTCTCGCCCGACAAGCCGCGGATATCTGGCAACCGCTCGCGGTCGCGGCGGTCGCGGTCGCGCTCGCGCTCGTCGCGCGCTCGCGACCCGACTGCGCTCGCTGCTTCGACCTTCTCAGGCTACCTCGATCAGTCCGGCGACAAGCTGGCGTCGCCAACCAAGCGCTCGCGCCGTTCTCGTCGGCGCGGCAAGCTGCCGGGCGTCGGCGCCGGAGACGATGGCCGCGGTCGCGCCCTCATGACCTCGTCACCACCACGAGTCCACTCGCTCCATCAGTACGCGTCGGACCTCGCTGCAACCGCCGACGCCACGCTTGCCGACGCCACCCACACGCTCCAGTTTCCTGGTGAGGATGACCTTGAGCGCGAGGTCGAGCGCATCTGCCGCGAGAACGAGCGGTATGTGCGCGAGCGCCGCCGTACCGAGCGTGACCACGACGTTTCGGCTGCTGGCGCGGCGCCGCCGCACTCGGCACGCGAGGCCAATGAGCGCGCCCGCCGTGAGGCTGCTACCCGTGCCGCGGCCCGCAAGCATGAGGCGGCTCGGTCAGGAGCTCGCTCGCGGCGGGCCCGCACGCCGAAGCGCTCGCCGCCTGCCAAGCGGGCCACCCCGGTGCGGCACGTCTCACAGCCGCCGCCAGCGCCGTCGCCAGGCCTTTATGAGTACGAGTACGAGAGCGAGTACGAGGAAGAGGCCGACCAGACACCAGCCCGCGCAGCACGCTCGCAGCCGGCGGCCCGACGCGGCTCGCGGCGCAGCGGCCAGCCACTCGCAGCCAGCCCGCAAAGTCGGAAGGCTGCGGCCGAGCTCGCGCGACGCGAGGCTGAGCTTGCCCGGCGCGAAGCCGCACTTGCTGACCGTGTCCGTCGCGAAGAAGAGCGGCTCGCGGCCGAAAAGCGGCGGCTGGTCAAGGCCGCGGCGGCCAAGCGGCGGCGCGAGAAGGCTGATGCTTCGCAGCGGCGTGCCGCGTCGCGCGGGCGCTCGGCGTCGCGCGACTTGGACGTGACGAGGTCGTCGAGCTCACGGCAGCGGCGGAGCGCGGCGGCCCAGGTGCACTCGCCGCTCGGCTCGACAGCGTCGGTTGACCTCGAGCATGAGTCGAGCCTCCGCCCGCGGCGCGGGCATCGGACAGCGACGTCGCCGTCGCGGACCGAGTCGCTCTTCCTCGACTCGACGTCGAGCCGGCCGGCGCGGCGGAGCAACTCGACCAACGCCGCCGCGCTCGGCCCGCCGGGCGCTCGCATTAGCTCGCGGCCCGACGGCCGGCTTGACGAGTCTGAGCTGGTGTACTCGCCGACCAAGCGCGGAACGTCGGCGACGTCCAAGCGCAATGTCCGGACTCCACCGGTCCGGCGCCACATGTCGTCTGAAGAGGTAGCGGCCATGGCGACGCCCGAGGGCAAAGAGGTGGTCTTTGTGGCTGCTGACGGCAGCGAGTTCCGAGTCCCGATGGCGGCGGCTCTGGCCTGCGGCGCAGTGGCGCCGTCAACCTCCAAGTTTGTGTTCGAGTCGGCGCCGCCGATGGTTGTCGAGCTCGTCGCCGCGTACCTCATCGAGGGCTCGCTCGAGCTGCTCACGCCCGAGCTTCTGGCCCGGCTCGGTGCCTTTGACGTCCTCCGCCTCGCCGAGACCCTTATGGTTCCTTCGCTCTACGTCCACGTGGCCGGCATCATTCTCGAGACGCCCGGCGCCGACACGGCTCGGCTCGGCGCAGCCATGAAAGCCTCGTTCCTCACCCGTGCCGACGTCAAGGACCTCAAGCTGTTGGAGGCCCGGTGCGGGAGCCCGATAACAACGCCGGTCTTTGATCTCTTTGTCCGCTACGCCCGCTCGCGGGCCAAGCGCAAGGCGACGAGGGCGACGACTCCGGTGGCGCGGTCATCGCGATCCTCGCCAGATCTCTCGTCGCGGTCGTTTGGGCGCCGCCGGTCCCAGCGCAGCTGAGTCCTTTTACGGTAAATCTACTCGAGCTACTCGACGTGCGCCGGGACCGGCGCGTCACCGATGAGCGGGACCATGGCAATGGCGGCGCCTACCGAGAACGTCACCAGCAGTGTCTCGGCCATCGGCCAGCCGTAGGCCTGCACGAGCGCGCCGAGGGGGAAGCCGCAGAGCGAGGCGCCGAGGTAGCCGACGCCACCTACAATGCCGCACGCCGTCGCCGCGAGGCTCGGCGTCACCTTTTCCGACGCCACCATGCCGATGAGCGTAGCCGGCATGTTGATAGCGGCGCCAAAGACAAAGACGACGGCCGGCAGCGAGAGCTGAGGCGCCGGAAGCGGGCCGTAGAAGAGCCAGCCGAGTGCAGCCGACGCCACCACCTGGGCCCACAGATTGACCTTGGCCCGCGAGCCGCCACAAAACGTATCCGAGATCCAGCCGCAGGTCAGCGAGCCAGACCCGTATCCGACTTCGAGCCAAAAGATGAGCGCGGCCGCCGAAGCCTTGTCGAACCCGCGCTTCTCCTCGAGCCACATGACGAGCCAGTCGCCGAGCGCGACCTTGACTGCGAGGCAGAAGGCGCAGGCCAAGTTGAGCCACCACATCGACGGGTTAGTGAGGAGCGCCGAGACCGACGATGCGTTCCCCGACACCGCCTCCTTGACCGCCGCCTTCTTAGCCGTCACCTTGACCGGCGATGCTGCCGACTGCTCGCCGGCCGTCGCCGGCGGCGGCGCCGTCCACGCCAGGACGAGTCCGGCTGCAAGGAGCGAGACAACTGACGGGATGGCAATGGCCATGCGCCAGCCGTAGGTAGCAGCAAGCGGCGGAACGATAAAGGCAAGGAGGGCGCCGGCGAGCGGGCGGGTGGTGGAGACCACGCCCCACCACGTCCCGCGCTGGTCAGGCGGGAACCAGAAGATGAGCAGCTTGCCGCACGGCGGCCACCAGGCGCCGTTAAGAAGACCGTTGCCCGCCCACAGGAGCACCATCAGCGGCAGCGACGAGACCGAGGCAAAGGCTAGCGCCACAAGCGCGCTGGCAGCCAGGCCACCGGCGAGCATCAGCCGCACGTCCACCGTGTCGGCGAGCGGAGCGACCACAAACTTGGACGCAGCGTAGGCCAGAATTAGCGCCGACGAGAGCGAGCCAAGCGCAGCCTTATCCACCTCGAGTTCGGCCATGATCTCTTTGCCCACAAACGCCCACGACTTCCACGCTGTGTAGTAAGCCATGCCCGCCACGCACATGCCGGCCACCGCACGCCTCCGCGCCGTCTCGCTTCCGCACTCCACCACGCCTCGCCCGCCCTCACCGCTCCCGCCATCCTTGCCCGCCATCCCAATGCGTCTCCGGTACACCAAGTCCCCACGTGCCATGCAGTGTCGACAAGTGGTGCTTGTGCCTGGTGTTGGAGTTGTTGGGTGGGGAGGCGGCAGTTGGGGCGGAGGGTGGGGGGTGGGGGGTGGGGGGTGAACCACGTCAAACAATTTTTTCTCGCCGTTCTTCCCTTCCCCTCCCCCCCCCCCCCTCCCTTTTGAGCCGGGGCTGGGGCTACCCCCCCTGCCCCAACGCCGACCTCCGACACCGTCCCCCCACCCGATTTCCACTTGTCTTTGCGTCGCGCACCATGGCGCTGACGTCGTTCAAGTTCGCCCAGTCGTTTGGGGACAAGCAGCCCATCGGCGAGGTGACCGAGGGTACGTGTTGTGTGAGATTGTTGTGGTCCCCGTGTGCCTTGCGCTTGCGCCCTCCTCGCAAAGTGCCGGCCTTCTCCGCCAAAGGGGGGTTGATCACTTCGTGGTTGTTCGTCTTCGCTGGCTGGGCCGCTCGCCAGCCGCCGAGATTGGTGTGCGCCCGTAGGCCTTTGCAGCGACGTACCGGAGACGCCAGCCTTGCCTGGTATATCAAGACCATGGATACTCCCCCGAGACACTGTCTGGTGTGGCACTGCGGCATTGCTCCTGCCTGGTGCACCCCTTGCAGGAGCCGCTCTGAGCAAGTGCCTCGGGCCGCCGACCTATTTTTTGGTTTCGAACGGCCGGCCCCGCTCGCCGCCCCTCGGGGCAGCTTACAAGGCGGTAGCGGCTTGTACCGACGGCGGAGACCAGTTTGTGCGTGCCGGACGCCTTGCAGTCTTTCGTTCTCCCCCTGTGTATACCTTTTTGAGCTGCCCGAGCTTTATCCCGCGAGGGGCAATGACTCGCGGCCGCAGGCGTACTTGGGAAATTGCGGGGTGGCTTGGTTGCGAGCCAGTCAGGGTCTGGCAAGAGGGGGAAGGGGGGGGGGGGGGGCAGGAAGAGCGGGAGGGGACAGAGGGAGAAGCGAAGAAATGGGGGGGGGACTCACAGGACCAAGTGTGCATGGTTGTGCTGGTTGTGGCTGGTTAACGGCTGGTGACGGGCTGGTGGTGGGCATGGACTGAACGGCACCGCAGCCGACATCATCTCTACGGTCGAGTTTGACCACACGGGTGACTACCTGGCGACCGGCGATAAGGGCGGGCGCGTGGTTGTGTTTGAGCGGTCGAACGAGAAGGTTGCGCCGTCGACGTCGTCGAAGCGCAAGTCTGACAAGTACGTGTCTGCCGAGTACGGGTTCTACGCCGAGTTCCAGTCGCACGAGCCCGAGTTTGACTATCTCAAGTCGCTGGAGATCGAGGAGAAGATCAACAAGATCAAGTGGTGCAAGCGGTCGAATGCGGCGCACTTTTTGCTCTCGACAAACGACAAGACGATCAAGCTGTGGAAGATCTATGACAAGAAGGTGCAGGAGGTGACGTCGACGAACCTCGACGGGCGGCGCGATGCGTCGCTCTCGACGTCGATTGCGACGCTCAAAGTGCCACAGCTTGTGACGACCGACACGGTGGTGGCTGCGACGCCGCGGCGGATCTACGCCAACGCACACGCGTACCACATCAACTCGATCTCGCTCAACTCTGACGGAGAGACGTACCTCTCTGCCGACGATCTGCGGATCAACCTGTGGAACCTGGACATTTCGTCGCAGTCGTTCAACATTGTCGACATCAAGCCCGAGAACATGGAGGAGCTGACCGAAGTCATCACCTCGTCCGAGTTCCATCCGATTTCGTGCAACATTTTCCTCTACTCGTCGTCCAAGGGCAACATCAAGCTCGCCGACATGCGGCAGGCTGCGCTCTGCGACGTCCACGCCAAGAACTTTGAAGAGGCCGAGGACCCGTCCAAGAAGTCATTCTTCTCGGAGATCATCTCGTCCATTTCGGACGCGCGCTTCTCGCGCGACGGCCGCTACATCCTCTCGCGTGACTACCTCACCCTTAAGATCTGGGACGTCCGCAACGAGTCCAAGCCAGTCACCGTCCTCCCGGTCCACGACCATCTCTCGGGCAAGCTGTGCGAGCTCTACGAGTCGGACGCCATCTTTGATCGCTTCGAGTGCTGCTGGGCTGGCGACTCGGGCAACGTCGCCACCGGCTCGTACGGTTCGCTCTTCCACGTCTACGACCGTGACGGCAAGACCGACAACGTTCTCGAGGCCTCCCGCAACGTTCAGCGCAAGTCGTCCTCCAAGAAGGGCCTCTCACGCCTTGGCCGCAAGCGCGACAAGCGCGCCGACCACGACATCAACCCGGATACCATCGACTTTTCGTCCAAGGTCCTCCACCTCGCCTTCCACCCGCACGAGAACACCATGGCCGTCGCCAACGCCAACAACCTGTACGTCATCCACTCGTCGTGAGGCTTTCTATCCTTCCCCTCCCCGTTTGCAGTGAACGATCTATCCGTCTATCCCTTACCCCCCTCCCCCTCCCCTGACCCCCTCAAAAGCCTCGACAGCCAACGGCGACAGCAGACGGCTGGCCGGCGACCAGGCGACTGGGCGAGAACAGACAGGCAACGACCATACTCGACTTCAAAAAATACCAGTCATGGCAGCAGGCGAGCAATTCTCTGATCTGTGCAAGAAGAAGTACTCGGAGCAGGCCGTCTGGTTCCTCAACGGGTTCTGGAACAAGGGCATGAAGGAGGAGGCCGAGAACGTGTGGAAGTTTGCCCAGAAGTTCATCGAGCTCGACGCCAGCAACAGCAAGGACGGCAACGAGATTGACGAGTTCCTCTCGCACAAGGTACGAACGGCGAGTTGCGTTTGCGATGTGGGACAAAGAAAAGGTGGGAGGGGAGGGTGAAGAACGTCGAGCTGTTTGTCCGCGGACGTGGTGGCGGTGGCTACGGGTCATCTCTTGCTCGAGGTGGCGGTGGTGGAGGTGGTGCGGGGGGGGGGGAGGGGGGGGTGGCGACCGACTCACGCACAGCGGCGAAAAAAATGGGCCTTTCTTTGAATACGGCGAATTCGTGGTGACGCGGCGAATGGCGGGCGGGTGGACGTGGACGATGTGGACGGCACGTTGTGGCTGGCGCATGGCTCGATGGACATGTTGGTTCGCCGGGGAGGGGGGAGTAGTTCCTCGAGACGCTGGATGAGACCATGACTGTGCTCGAGATGCGTAAGAAGCTGCGCGAGATCGACCAGGATGCCAACGGGCACATGGCGCTCCTCGAGTACCTTGTCTACCGCTACGGGTTTGGCGTGGACGAGACAGTCAACGCGCCGCAGGGCGGCAACCAGGAGGAGATCGACCAGGCGCAGGCCAAATTCGACGAGCTGTCCGAGGCACTGACCGCGCAGGTGCAGGCGGTGGCCGAGCTCGACGCGGCGGTGGCCGAGCTCGACGCGGCGGTGGCCGAGCTCAAGACGGTGGTCGCCGAGCTGCAGGAGGCTGTTGCGGCAACGCAGGCAGCGGTTGAAGAGCTCAACGCGGCGGTGGCCGAGCTGGAGGCCGCCGAGGCCAAGCTCCAGGCCGCCGAGGATGAGCTCCAGGCTGCCATCGACGACCTGCACGCGCAGGAGGAGGCGTACCACGGCGCCATTGCCACCGCCGAGGCCAAGGCCAACGACGACACGCTCGGCGTGGTCAAGCGCAACCGCGCCGCGGCCGAGCTCGCCCAGCTCAAGGCCGAGGACCCGATGCCGCTTCGCCGGGCCAAGCTGACCCAGGAGGCCTCGCTCCGCAAGGTCGGTAAGGAGAAGAAGATCGTGGCTGCCAAGCGCGAGGAGCAGGAAGCCAAGCGCACCGAGCAGGAGGCCAAGCAGGCCGAGCAGGAGGCCAAGCAGGCCGAGATGGAGGCCAAGCAGGCTGAGCAGGAGGCCAAGCAGGTTGAGATGGAGGCCAAGAAGGCCGAGGCCGAGCAGGGCCAGGTCGAGCTCGAGGCCAAGATGGAGGAGGCTTCGGCCGAGCTCGCCGCCCTTAAGGCCAAGGGTGGCATCGCCGAGGGTGTTCTCTGGTGGATGGAGCGGACCGAGATCGAGGCCGACAAGTACCTGCCGCCCTCCAAGCAGAAGTACGCCCACCTTCACAAGAAGGTCGACATCCGTGCCGGCGCCGAGGACGAGTAGAGATCGTCGTACAACCACGAGACCCTTGCCTCGCCATAAACCCAACCATAGACGCACGCACCAATGAAAAAGCCGCTTTACGTTCCACTTGAAACAACCGACTACATAGATGTAGCTGGCACGGGGCGGTGATGGGCTGCTTCACCACGTCGTGGTCAGCCCCGCATGGCCATGCGATAGATGAACACCGCCTGCTCACGGTTTGATGTGGTTCGTCTTGACCGAGTACACAACCACCTCATCAAGGAGGTAAGTCTCGTCGAAATGGAAAAAGGTGACTTCAGCGTGGATGAACGGCTGGCCATCGGTGTCGACGAGGAACGACGTCACCTCCGAGGTGGCGAAGCGCCCGCCGGTGGTGACCACCAGCGAGGTGTCGAATCGGGCCTGCGACCACTGGGCCATAATTCCGCGCGCGTACGCCACGAATGCGTCCTTGTCATAGCCCTGCCCGTAGACGTCGATCGAGGCATCGGCGGCGAGAACAGCGCCGAGCGCGGCCGGATCGCGGTCGGCCCAGGCCTTGAAGAACTCGGCGATGCTGTTGGCCATGGCCGTGGTGTTGGCAGTCGGCGGGATCGGCGGGTACTCTTCCCACCGGGTAATGAGGCCGGACTTGGTGTCGGCGATGATGACAGCCCAGTACGACTCGTCAACAAAGGCGAGCGGAGCGTCTGGCGCCGAGCTCGAGGTTGTGCACGCGAGGCCGACGTCGATGCCAATGGCACACAACTCGTCGTTGCCCGAGGCAGGGGCAATAGCAAACGGGCGGATGTAGATGCCTGGACACGACTCGTAGAAGGCCTTGAACTTGGCAATGGTCGTCGATGTGTTGTACTCGACGCCGCCAAACATAGAAGTCACATCGTCAGCAAACATGTCGAGCACCATCGTCGGCGACGGCCCGGACTCGGCGTGGAACGCCGCCACCGCCGCCTCGCATCCTGCATGGCTCGCTGCCGCCCGCCCCGCCATTCCCATAACTTCCACAACCACCACCATCACCAGAAGCAGAACACTCACTACAGTCGGAGACATGCTCAACAAGCGGGTGAGGTGGGGACTGTGGGAGGGGGGGGGGGGGGGGCTTTGACGGTCAGCCGAAAGGGGAAAAAAAAGCCAGAGTAGCTAGCTGCGGGCAGAAACTCCGGCCACCAAACCAACCCAGTCGCCGGTGAATGAGGCGGGGCGGGCGGGGCGAATGACGGCGAGTGTGGCGAACAGGCGCGAGCAGGCGAGTTTCCCGCCACAGCGCAGAACACCACCGCGGCAGGCGGTGATTCCAGACACGCACCTTCTGGTGGTGGTACCACCCAACTCAGCCCACACCCAACTTGACACACATGGCCAAGGGCAGGTCGCGTAAGAAGAAGCGCACCTCGTCAGAGAGCCCCCCTCGGAGGCGGCGGCGGCGGCGGTCGAGCAGCAAGGGCAGGCGGCGGCGCAAGTCGTCGAACAACAGCAGCGGACGGAGCAGAGGCGGGCGGGAGCGCAAGCGGAGGCGCAAGCGAAAGGTGGCGGTGAGCGTGTCGGATCTGGAGAGTGATAGCCCGGACATCATCCCCAACGCCCATGTCCAGGTCGCAGTGTATGCCGCCCGCGGCGGGGCGCTCGACAGCGGCAAGCGGAGCAAGCGCTATGCCGTCGAGATCCGCTACGGCTCGATCTCGTTCACCACACCCGATGAGCCTGTGCCGGTCTGGGGCGTGGCCACCAAGTTCCCGCTCGTCGCCGACGCACCGTACGTCGCATTTACCCTCTTTGCCCTCCCGCGGCAGCACCGCGGCGAGTCCGCCACCGCCACCGCGCGCAAAGCCCTCGGCGCCGTCGCCTTTCCACTTGGTCGCCTCTCGCTCGGCGTCTCGACCCGCAAGTGGTGCAAGCTCAAGCGGGCGTCGGGCGAGCCGACGGGCTACGAGCTCAAGATCGGGCTGCGTCTCGAGCACGAGCTTGCCAACGAGCTTGCCGCCGAGCCATCGGCCGCCCGCCGCCGCTTCCTCCTCGGCATGCAGGCCGCCGAGGCCGTCGAGGGCTACGAGCGAGTCTCGGTCTCTGACGACGACGCGCTCGATGCTCTCCTGCACAAGCGCTCCATCCAGGCCGTCCTACAGTACCGCGACGAGCTCGAGCTGCAAATCGATGGCTCCGAGGAGCGCACCACCACTGAGGTCCTGGTTGCGCTCCTCAACTTTCGCTCCGTCCAAGCCCTCACCATCATTATTGGCGCGCCAGTCCTTGCTCCGCTCTTATGGCTCGCCATCTTGCTGTGGGCACTCGGCTACGCGCTCGACTCGGCACTCGCCTCGTGTAATCTCTCCCTCTTTGCATGCGTCCCTCAGTGGTGCAAGTCGACGAGATGCTTCTCGCGTGGCTGCTGCCCTGGCCTCCGCCCGTCGCGCGGCCGGCGCTCCTCACTCGCCTCGGCCCACCGAACCGGTGACCTGGAGGCCGCCACCCTCTCGGCCACCGTCTTGACCCTCCCGTCCGATGACTCGGGCTGGGGTGGCTCGTACTCGTCGGTCCTCCGGTCCTCGACTACCTCGCGCTACCTCACCAGCGATGGAGCAGACTACTCGGAAGCGCAAGAGTCGAGCTCATGCTCGGATGGCAGCGATGCCGGCAAGGGCTCCAGCAAGCGCAAGTGGCACCAGCCGCTGCAGTTTGTCGTCTCGCCCGACCAGCCGACCGTCCACTCGTACTGGGCCAAGCATGGCCTCCTCACCACTTTTGTGACGTGGTGGCTCCTCCCGGTCCCGACAATGGCACTTGCCTCGCTTGCCGTCTACGCCGCCCGCACCCGTGACGTCGGCGTCTCACTCACCGAAGTTCTCCAGCCACTCGCCATGTACGTCCTCCTTGTTGCCGTCCTCATCGCCCTCGCCAACCATGGCTTCTTTGTCTACGTCCTCGGTCAGAACGAGTCGGACAAGCTCCTCGAGACCTATGCCCGCAAGATGGCATACCTAGAGGACTCGCTCGCCCGCGCCCGTGCCGCGTACCCCTCGCCGCCGCCGTCCAACTGCGCCGACTATGCCTACAATAGCAGTGACGGCGACGACGACTCGAGCTACAGCGACGATGACGACGATGACTCGGAGCAAGCAGAGGTCGAGGTCGAGCTGGCCACCCCTCGCCGCCGACGTGATCTCTCGCGCGCCGAGATCCTGACGCTGGTCCAGGCCGACCAGCAGACCGCCACCAACGAGACGGTTGCGTACCGGCTCTTTGCGCAGATCTGCGACGCTGTTGCGGTGGTGCGCAGACCGGCGTTTGTCGCTGGCGTCAGCGCTGCTGCCTTTGTCCTTGCCTTTGTGCAGGGATTCATCGCGCCCATGTACCGCATGGCCAAGCGCAATGCCGGCGTCTCGGCATCGACCTCGTTTGGAGGCGGCAGTGGCAACGCCGCCGACCACGTCCTCGTCGCATTTGCCGTTTACTCCGGCTTTGTCGTCCCGTTTGTCGGCCTGGTCATCCTCGGCTACCACGCCGGTGCGTACTACGAGCACGTGGCGCGGATGGGTCTCTTCCACCGCATCACCTCTGCGGCGTCACCGTTTGTGGTTGGCCGCTCACGGCGCAAGTGGCAGCTGCACCTTGACAGCCAGCGCAACCTCCAGCTTTGGCTCAAGGTCAAGGAATACCTCGCGCTGGCCAAGGGCGAGCTCGTTTCGGCCGCACTCACCCCAATGGTCGGCTCGGTTCTTGTCGCCTGGGTCGTCGTCACCGTCTTTACCGTCTTCCGCATCCTCATCGTCACCTCGACCCTCGACGAGCTCGCCGTCGTCTCCATCTTTACCTCGCTCTGGCTCACTGTCTCCTTCTTTGCCTTTCTCTCGGCAGGCATCAAGCTCAACGACGTCAAGGATGCCCAGCGCGACTTTCTGCACATGCAGCAGCTCGTGGTCCAGACCCGCAAGCTTGACGCCACAGACGCAGAGTCCCAGTCGGCCCTCTCGCGCCTCGTCCAGTCCATGGCCGAGCACGCCTCCTGGCTCTCACACACTCCGCCCGAGACCCTTGCCGGCGTCCCGCTCACCGCCCTCGTCCGCAACAAGCTCCTCGGCGTCGTCGGCACCGCCCTCACCTTTTGCCTCGCCAAGCTCCTCGATCAACGCGGCAGCTGACCAGCCGCATCTACGTGTCAGCCACATCCCAGCCAGCTGTCAAACGTCCGCCCTCACCCCGCCTTTACCCGCACCACCTCGACCGATGCGCCATCGCTCCGGTCCGCCAACTCTCTGCCCAATCTATACACTGCCCGGCCTCCAGCACACTTCACCGCTCTAGCCGTGCCTCGGAACCCCCACTTCCGCTCCATCTCGACCACTTCTGTCCCGCTGCTATACAGACGCAACGAGATGTCATCCGAATGACGTGTTGACACGAAGATCTGCCGGGACACCCCCACCGAATGGGACAAATTTCATGACCAATGTGCCACAACGGCACGAGATGTTCGGTACGGTCGCCCGCAAGCCGCGGGACCACCACCTCCACCACCTCCACCGCTAAACGATCCACCTCTCGCTCTCCCCACGCCACCTTCTTCCCCACCGCTACCACCCCCACCGCTACCACCCCTGCCCCTACCACCACCACCCATGTCAGCCCTTCTTATTACCGCCATGGTCGTCGTCGTCCTCTGCTCGGCCCAACAGCTCGGAGCGCAGACGACCAGCTCACCTTACACAGACTCGCCCACTGTGGTCATAGACGTACTGACCGGTGACCCGTTTGCCATTGCTGCTGCCGACTTTGACCTTAATGGCTACACCGATGTGGCGTACTGCACCATTGGCACAATCCTGTTCAGCACGGACGAACTGTATGTGACCACTACCGATGCCACGGGCGTTTGGTCGCGCCACCAAGTCGACTCAAGCCTCCAGCCTTGTACTGCCCTTGCCGCAGGCATGGTCAACGGTGACGGGTACCCGGACCTGGTCATGTCCGATGAGAACAACAACGTTTTTGTCTACCTCAATGATGCAGGCACCGGCTGGGATTTTACCGGGCCGACCTCGCCGCTGCCAGCTACGCCAGACGTGAGCTACATTCGCATCGCTCTCGTCGATGCTGACGCAAACAACGACGTGGTCATCTGCTCAGAGACACGCCCGCGGCTGCCGCTGGTATGCTGGCAACGGCGCCGGGGGCTTTTCCACCCCAGCCTCCTCGTTGGTTGCCGCATACCCGGCAGGTCACACGGCGGCCGCACTCATCGACATGGACGGCGATTCGGATCTTGACATGGTCATCGCCGGCAGGGACGCTTCGCTTGCCGCAGTCCTCGACTATGCCGCCAATGACGGCTCCGGCAACTTTGCCGTCATCCGCCTTGCCACAGGCACCGCCGTCGCTATGCGGGCTCTCGCCACGCCGCGTCTCGAGGCGGCTTCCCCGCACCGCTCGGTCCTCGCCGTGGTCGGCAACACCGCGCTGCTGGTAGTCAACTCTGGAGGAGTCTGGGCTACAAGCCCTGTCCCATCCGGCAAGCTCGGGAGTGGGCTCCTCGCCGTCCGCGGCTACACCGCCGACATCAACGACGATGGCTGGGACGACGCCATCGTTGCCACTTCGGGTAGTGCTGGCCTCTTTGCCTTTGTATCCAACCGCGCGGGTGGCTTCTATGCACCTTTCACGCCCAATAGTGACTTTGTAGGCGCAACAACTCTCGCCATCGCCGACTTTGACAAGGACGGCGAGCTTGACGTCGCCGGCGCGTCGGCCGGCAACAGCATCGTCGCCTTTGTGTCGGGCACCTTTGCCGCCGGCATCGACATCGGCCCCGCCAAGCCGGCCGTAATCACCATTGACGACGCCGTCACGTCGGCCTTGGTCCTCCTCGCAGGCGACGTCGATGCCTCCGGCTCAGTCGACCTTGTTGCCGTTGCCGAGTCTGGTGAGGTGACCTGGTACGCCAAAGACCGTGGGGCGGTCTCGTTCTCCGGACCGCTCGTCCTCGCTACCGCCGACGCCCTCGGGCCGTCGCTCGCCGATGCGGCGCTGGTCGACGTAACCGCCGATGCTGCCCTCGACCTGCTCGCAATCTCATCCGCTGACGGCAACCTGCGCGTGGTGGCCGGCGGCGGCGGCGGCATTTTTGAGGCGCCGCGCACTATCGCCACCTCCCTCGCAGCCGGTGTGGCCTTCATTGTCTCTGACCTCAATGGCGATGTTTTCCCCGACGTCATCGTCGCCTCGGTCTCGTCCGTCGTTGTTCTGGTCAACAATCCGACCTCGCCAGGCACCTTTTCTGCGCCAGTCACGGTCACGTCTGCAGGCAGCAACTTTGTGTCCATGGTCCTCCTCCCGGGTGACGCAAGCCTCGTCGTTCTCGACGCGGGCACAGCCGACGTCCTCCGCTTCCCCGTTGCACCCGCGCCAGCCTACTTTGGTGCCAGCTCCATTGTTGCTTCGGGCGTCGGTGCCGACGCAGTCGATCTTGTGCTCGTCGACTATGACGGAGATGGACTCGACGACTTGGCGTGGGGTACGGAGACCGGAGGCGTTGAAGTCCTTCTTGGGGTTGGGCCCGGAGCGTTTGCTGTTGCGCCGCTTGCGCCGGCGCCGCGGGCATCGATCGGTCCAGCTGCTGCCATTTCGCCGCATTCGCTTCTGGGAGATCGCATCCACGCCTCTCACGTGGCAGACCTGTTTTTCATCTCGGACGACTCGCTCGGCTGGCTGGTCAACATCGGGAGCGCCGGTGCGCCGACCACCCGCGAAGTCACTTGGTCGCTCGCTGCCCCGCTCTCAGCAGGTGCACCGATGGACATCAATACCGATGGCTACTTTGATCTGGTCTGGGTCTCGGCCGGTGATGGCCTCCAATGGGCACCGTCTGTCCCAACGCTCTCGGCTTACCCGTCAACTGCCTCCCGCAACCTCGTGTCGTCGCCGCCGCCCGAGTGCGGCGGTGTCCAGGCCACGTTTTCCTGCCTCTCGGCCATGATTGCCCACTCGCTGCAGGCCTGGCTTACCTTGCCCGGCCACATATCCACCTACTCGTCGTGCGCCCGCGCTCCAGGCAACCCAGGCTACCACCTCGTCGAGCGCTCTTTTACTCTTCATGGTGGCGGTGCAGTTGTAGACTGCGGCACGGCCGGTGGTGTGCTCTTCAAGGTCACCGGCTCGGGTGTCACACTCACCATCAACGGCCTCTCCGTCCGCCACGCCTCGTCGACTCTCGCCGCTACCTCGCCGCTGGCGGTCGGGCCGTCAGCCGCTCTCGTTCTCAATAACCTGGAGCTGGCCGAGTGCTCTGCACGCGCTGACTCGACGTCGGTCCTCGCCGGGCTCGGTGGCACTGTTCTTGTCGACACACTCGGCTCACTCACCGCGACTTTGGTTGTCTTTGCCAACAACACTGCCGCCGGAGGCGGTGGCGCTGTCGCTGTTATTGGAAGTTCAGCCAAGCTCACCCTCACCAAGTGCACACTCGACGGCAACGTCGCGTCGGGTGCGGTCGGGAGCTTTGGCGGCGGAGGCGGCGCCCTCCTTGTCCTCGGCTCGAGTTCGGTGACCACTATCACCAACTCGAGCTTTGCCAGCAACACCGCAAGCGCAGGCTCTGGTGGCGTCATCCTTGTCGATGCACCCGGCGCTGTTGTCTCGGCCGCCAGGACCGCGTTTGACCGCTCGTCGGCTCCCCTTGGCGCCGGTGGCGTGGCCTTGGTGACTAGAACCAGCCGTCTCACGCTCACTTTGGCTTGCACTGTCCGCGACTCCTCGGCTGCCTGGGGCGGAGCGCTCGCTGTTGCGCCGTCTGCTGGCTTCTTTCCGCAGGCCATTGTCTCGACCTCACTGAAAACAGCCTCAGGCACCGCATCAGCCGAGGTGCATCTCGGCGACACCGCTGTCCTTGCGTCGTCCGCAGCCTACGGTGGAGCGTTTTTTGCCTGTGATGGCGTCGTCAACGCCTCGCGCGCCACCCTCAGTGGGCCGCTGAGTGCCTCGATTGCCGGTGGCGTTGTCTTTGAGTGTCTTCCTCTCACTGGCGTCGTTGTCGAACTGCCGCAGTCGAGCCCAGCAGCGAGTGTGGGGGGTTATGGTCCGACGCGGGCAACGCCGCCCAACGCGATTGCTGTCATCGAACAGCTGGTGGCCAGTGTGCCGTCTGGTGGCCAGCTGGGTAGTGGCAAAGTGGTGCTCTCCGATGCATACGGCTCTGAGGCCAAGGATCCGGGCGTTCTCGTCCAAGGCGAGCTGGTTGCCAACTCGAACGCCGACATCTCCGGTCTCCAGCAGGGTGTCTCACTCGAGTCGGACGGTTCAGGCTTTTCGCTCGCTGGTGGAGCTGTCTCGGTGGTGACCTGGAGCGACGGCGATGACATCAACGTTGCTGTCGCTCTCGAGGTGACGCTCAAGGGTTCATCTACGGCGTCGCCGGTTTACGTCTCCACCACCATCACGGCGTGTCCGGTCAACTGGGGCCGTGCTACCGAGGTTGGCCGGCCGCTTGTCTGCTCGCCGTGTGGCGACAGCCAGTACTCGGACGAGCTCTCGGTCGCACCGTGTCTTGTCGAGCTCACATGCGGTGGTGGTGCCGTGCCAATCGACGGCGAGTGTCGGCTCTGTCCGGCCAACACCATCCGCAGCGTCGCCTCCAACAGTTCGGATCCGGGTCCGTGCGAGTGTTTGCCGGGTTTCTGGACGCCGATGCTGGTGAACGACGTGGCCTGCATAGCTTGCCCAAGGGTGCATCATGCCAAGGCAGCAGCGCGGCTCCGGTCGCGCTGCCTGGCTGGTACCCGACCGGGCCAGTCGAGACTGGTGCGTTTTCAGAGTGTCCCGTCTCGAGCGCGTGCCTGTCAGGCACACTTTGTGACTCGGCGTACGAGGTCGGGTCCTACATGTGCAAGGACTGTGGGCCGGGCTCGCACCGGCTCTCGGACGGGTCGTGCGCAACTTGTCCGCCCGCCTCGATCGGGCTCTTTGTCTTTTCATTGTCCTTGTTGCCATCTTTGCCGTTGTCGGCTTTCTGCTCTCGGCGTCGGCGTTTTCGGCGCATGACAAGGCTGTGTCATCGTCACACGCCGACCTCGCTCGCAACCGCGGCAAGAAGCTTGTCCCGTACTCGTTCTCGGTCATCCTTGTGTACCTGCAGATGCTCGGCATCCTGGGCGTGGCGCCGTTCAACTGGCCGTCCAAGCTCACTGCGGTCTTTTCCTCGTCCAACGTTGCCAACGTCGATGCCTCGTACTTTGCGATGGGCTGCACGCTCCGCTCGTTCTACCACCGCTACTTGCTCAACATTGGCGTGCCGTTTATGTTCGCTGTTGTAGCCGGCATCATGACCGCCGCCCGCGCACTCTGGACTGCCGTTCGGTCGCGGTCGACGGAAAACAGCATGTACCAAGCGCAGCTCTCTAGCGGCACCTCGCTCTTTGCTATCCCGCTCCGCATGCTATTTGTCATCGGCCCGCTCCTCTACATTCCGCTGTGCAAGGCGACGCTCGTGTACTTTGACTGCACCCGGCTGCCCAACGCGAAGTGGTACCTGGATGCTGACTACTCGACCGAGTGTTTTGACACGCAGTGGTGGGCGCTCCTGCCTGTGGCCCTTGGCGCGTTTGTACTTTATGTGGCGGCGCTCCCGGCTCTCTTCTCGTTTCTCCTGTACACCAACCGGAAGCGACTCGACGCGCCGCTGACCATCATCCGGTATGGCCCGATCTACAACAGCTACCGCCGGTACTACTACTACTTTGAGCTTGTCTCGCTCGGCAAGCGACTCGCAATTGTCACCGTCTCTCTGTTTTTCTCAGAGATGCCTGTCTGGCTGTTCATCGGCTTCTTCTCCATCTTTGGCTGTGCACTGTACATCCAGACCAGAACGCAGCCGTACTTTCTTCCGCTCCACAACACGCTCGACAACTCGCTCAACATTGGCATTCTCGCTCTCCTTGTTGCCGGCGTCATGTACTGGGCCAACAACTTTCCCAACAGTCTCACAGTTACGCTTGTCGACATGATCTCGGTCGGTGTTCTGTGCGCCTCCTTTGCTATTCTTGGCATGGCGTCAGTGCAAGAGATCCTCGCCAACCGGCGCCGCAACATCATCACGCCCCAAGTTCCCGGGTCCGACGAGCGCGTCCTGGGCGTCCGCGAGGCCATCCTCTGGTCTGAGCTCAACAAGCACCTTTCGGACATCCGCGACTCGGCGCTCCGCACCACGCTCCACGACATCCACGACCAGCGCATCCACATCATTGCGCCACGGTCGTCGTCGACAGGCACACTCGCCTCAAACGGTGCCGCTGGCTCCGGGGCCGACATCCCGCTCACCGCCGGTATTTCGGCACACTCGTCGGCGTCGTCGTCGTCTTCGCTCTCGTCGTCTTCGCAAGTCGAGTCGTCCTCGTCACAGCTTCACGACGGGGACGGGGACGGGGACGATGTCGAGCTGGGCTACCACACCCAGCTGTCGAGCACGGTCAAGTCGGGCACGCCGCCTGATGACAATGGTGCGGGTGTGTCTCCTGGGCGGATATCGCTCGCCCAGCTCGGCGAGAACCTCAGCCATGGTCAGCCACACCGGCAGCCGTCGTTGTCGCCAAGGACGACTCGGTCACGACGCAACATTCACAGCATGGGGGGTCAGCGGTCGCATGTGCGGACTCACACGCGGCGTGGCTCCCACGAGCATCACGCCGGTTCCGGACACACGTGGCGTGGCTCCCACGAGCATCACGCCGGTTCCGGACACACGCGGCGTGGCTCCCACGAGCATCACGCCGGTTCCGGACACACGCCGCGTGGCTCCCACGAGCATCACGCCGGTTCCGGACACACGCGGCGTGGCTCACACGAGCATCACGCCGGTTCCGGACACACGCCGCGTGGCTCGCGTGGTGGCGCGCGTGCTGCTATCGCTCCGCTCAAGCTCGCTGCCGTTGCTAGTAAGCGAGCCGAGTCGCTGCAGCAGACCTCGTCACATGATGTGTCGCTCGAGCTGGGTGGTGACTCTTCGGAGAAGCTCACGCGGCGCGCGTCGATTGCGCACGACTCTCCGTTGGCAGCGGGCAAGATCGACGCCTTGGTATACCGGCCACTCTCGCACCGCGACCCGCCAAGTCGGAGGCACTACCCCGAGCTTGATTCCGAGTTGACGCGAGTAGCTAACTCGGGCTCGTCTCTTGCACCTGGGCCTGGCAGCGGGCAGCGAGCGGCGACAGCGTCTATGCCACATGGGGTTGGGGGCGGGCGGCGGCGGCGCAAGGCCCATGGCTCATCGGCATTCAAGCGGCAAGCAACCGAAGGCTCGCTCTCCAAGGCGCGGAGCCGTGAGCACGACCAAGGTACTGAAAGCAGCAAGCGGCATGCGCGGCGGCGGCGGACGCGGCGATCGGCTCATGGGCTGACGTCGCCGTTTGGCGCCGGACCATCGACCGAGCTCGACGACGTGGTAGAAGCGTTTGTGCGGTCGCGGTCAGAGATGCTACAGCAAGTTGAATGAAGAATCCGCTATGTGGGGAGTTCGTTGTGTAGTGTTTAGCCTAGTGGCGGAGCGAGCGGTTGAGCTCGTCGCGGATGTGTTCCAGCTCTGCAGCCATCTCGACCGAGGCGGCCGATTGGCCCTGCTCCTGTAGATGGGCGGAGAGCTGGACGTTGTACGCGCGCCAGTTCTTTGCCATCTTGCGAAGCGTCTCCTCGAGCTTGGCGTTCTCGGACTGCTCCTGGGCGAGCCGCGAGGCGAGCGCCTTGAGCTCGCGGTCGAGGTCGCGAGCAATGGTATCCTTGGACGAGGACTCTGTGCGGAGGACCTTGAGCTCGTCTTTGAGCGAGGCGGTTTCTGCACGGAGGCGGCCGAGCGACTTCTCGGTCCGGAGCAACTCCTTCTCGTACTTGACTACATAGGACTCGAGCTTGGCGTTCTGGGCCTCTGCCGACTCGAGCTGGGTCCGGAGCGCGTCGATCGAGTCATGGGCGGCGAGCTCGGCGGTGCGGGTGAGCGAGGCTGCGGTGGCATTAGCTTCATCAAGAGCGGCATGGAGGCTTGCCTGCGCCCGCTGCAGGTCGGCGATTTCGCGGTCCGCAGCGCGGAGCTTGCCCTGAAGGACAAGCAACTCGTCGGAGGCGGCGTGCTCTGCGGTCTGGGTGGAGAGAACGCGCTGGCGCTCCGAGGCGAGGAGGTCCTCGAGCTTGACAACGGCGTCCTTTTCTAGGGCGAGCGAGGTGTGCAGGACCTGGTTCTGGGCGTGGGCGTCGGCCAAGGCGCGCTCGAGCTCGTGAATCTGGGCGCGAGCCGAGGCCAGCTGGGCGCGGAGGTCCTCGGCGTGCTTGTGGACGTTGGCGGTGAGAGCCTGGGCAGCCTCGACCTCGGAGCGTGCGGCCTTGAGCTCGGCGTCGCGAGAAGCGGCGGACGAGGCCTCGTCATGGGCTTGCCGCGAGAGCGAGGCCAGCTTGCGCTCAAAGGCACGAAGGTCGAGGACGTAGCCCTTGTTCTCCTGCTCGAGCGTGCGGATGTGGGCAGCCATGGAGGCAGCCTCCTGGTTGGCAGCAAGGAGCTGGCCGCGGAGTTCGTCACGGTCGGCAGCGTCGGCGGCGGCAGCGGCGGCGACCCGCTTGTTCTCGTCCGAGACAGAGGCATAGTTGCGGAGAACGTCGTTGAGCTCGCGGTCCTTGGCCTTGACGAGCTCATCGGCAAAGTGGGCGCGGGCAGTGGCGTCGCTGAGCTGAGCGCGGAGATCCTGGACTTCTGCAGCGGCAGCGGCGAGATCGGCGTTGAGCATCTGGTTCTCGCGGGTCATGTTGGCAAGGTCCTGGTCAAGCGACGAGACCGAGGCCGACGTCCCGGCGAGCTGCTCCTCCCATTGGGCCTTTGTGGTAAGGGCGTCTTGGAGCTGTGCTCCGAGTGAGGCGATTTCCGCGTCCTTGCTGTCTGCGGATGCGAGGCAAGCCTGCAGCTGCTCCTGGGTAGCCTCGTGGGCGGAGAGAGCAGCGTCGCGCTCAGCCTTGGCGGCGTCGACGGCGGCGCGGGATTCCACGAGCGCTGCCTCTTTTGCGTCGAGCGAGGCCTGGGTAGCGCCGACGCGGTCGTCAAGGAGAGCCAGCGAGTGCTGGAGGTTTGCAATCTGGGCGTCCTTGCGGGCAAGGTCCTTGGTAGCGTTTGCGCGTGCGGTGTCGGCGGCGTCGGCGCGTGCGGTGGCGGCGTCGACGTCATCGCGTGCGGCAGCAACCTGGGCTAGGAGATCCTCGCGCGAGACGTTCATCTGGTTGACCAGCGAAGACATACGAGAGGCCTTGTGCGAGGCGGCGGACGAGGAGGAGAGGGCCTCCCCGAGCTGGTCATTGAGGGCGGCAACCTGGTCGAGGAGCGAGGCGCGCTCCGAGTTTGCGGCAGAGAGCTCAGCCTTGAGGGCGGTGATCTGGGAGTTGAGCGAAGCGATAAAGGCGCCCTGCTTGAACGAGTTGGACGAGACGTGCTCCTTGTCGTCGGTGAGGAGGAGGACGCGCTGCTGGAGGGAGGCGACCTGCGCAGCCATGGCGGCACGCTCGGCGTCTGCGGAGGCTGCGGCACGCTCGGCGCGCTCGGCCTTATTGGAAGTGGTGACGAGGTCGCCAGCCTTGGAGGCAAGCTCGGCGTCGCGAGCCTTGAGCTCGTTGAGGAGGGCAGCGTGCTGGCCGCGGAGCTGGTCGTGGAGCTCAGAGAGCGAGTCGTGGTCGGCCTTGAGGCTCTGCAGCGAGGCGGACATCTCGTTGGCCTGCGACTCGACGAGAGCAAGGGCGTCTGCGAGCTCGGACTTTTCAGCGCGGACGGTGGCGAGGGTGGCATGGAGGTGGTCGACCGAGGCGCGGGCGTCTGCGAGTTCGTCTGCGGTCTTCTGCTCCTTGCGGACCATGCGGTTGTACTCGACGACTTGGGCGGTGGCCTGCTCTTGGAGGGAGGCGATCTGGTGCTTGGTCTGCTCGAAGCGGTCCTGCAACGGGGCGAGCGCCTCTGTCTCGCGGACCAGCGAGTCCTTCTCGGCCTCGAGCTGCTTGACGGAGGCCTGAAGCTGGGCGTTGGCAAGGCCGAGCTCGTGGACTTCGGTCTTGAGGGCGGAGAGCTCGTTGGTGAGCCGGTTCTTGTCAAAGCGCTCCGAGTCTGCCGCGGCGAGCGCGTCCTGGGAGGCAGTGTGGGCGGCCTGGGCGTCCGACGCCAGGCGCTCGACCTCCTTCTTGTAGTAGTCGCGCTCCTGCTCGAGTGCGGCGTACATGGTCTGCAGCCGTTCTTGCGCATTCTGGAGAGACTCGAGCTCCTCGCCCATCTTGGAGCGCTCGCGGTCGACGGCCTCTGTCAGCGACTTGAGCGTGTCCTGGAACTGCACCTTGGAGCCGAGCTGGACCTTGAGCTCATCGTTGTCGGCCATGTGCTTTTCGAGGAGCTGGTGGAGGCCAGTGTTGTCTTGCTGGAGGTTGACGGCGGCGGCCTGAGCCTCCTCGCGCTCGACTTGGAGCTTGGAGACGTGGAGCTGCAACGTCTTGAACTCTGTGGTGAGGGCGGCGTGCTCGTCGGTGAGGGCGGCGAGGTCGTTCTCTGCGCGGCGGGCGCGGGCCTCGAGGGTGCGAGCGGCGGCGTCGGCTTCGGCGGCCTGAGTGCGGGCAGCATCCTTGGCAGCCTCGAGCTCTGCAATGATGTCGGCAAAGGAGGAGCGGGCCGAGGCGTACGAGTCGACGACCTGGGCAACCGACGACGACTGCGACTTGAGCTTGGAAGCGGCGGCCTCGGCGGCGGCGGCCTTGGCGTGAAGGGCTGAGATGGTCTGCTGAGCAGTGTCAAGCTGGGCCTCCAGCTCGCGGACTCGAGTCGAGGCGGCGGCGGCGGCTGAGGAGTCTGCAGATGAGAGTTGTGCGGCCTGAGCCTGGAGCGCCTTGAGCTCGTTGACGAGGCGGACGTTCTTGGCAAGGACTTGCTTGTAGGCAACCCGGGCAGCGTCGACCGAGCCCTCGCCGCCCATGGCGTCGATGCGGGCGTTGGCAGCCGCGAGGGCGTCACGGGCCTTGGCCAGCTCCGAGTTGAGGACCTCGACCTCAAGGCGGGCCTGGGAGAGCTCACGCTCGTGCTGGGCCTGCTGCGCGTCAAAAGCGCGCCGGTCGGGGGCAGTGCCACGTTCGACAATCATGCCCAGGCGGGCCACCTCCTTCTCGTACTCAAAGACCTCGTACTGCAAGGCGTCGCGCTCGCGGGTGAGCGAGGCGGCGAGCTCACGGGCGTCGGCGAGATCGCGAGTCAGGGCCTCAATCTTGGCGTTTGCGGCGTCGAGGAGATCGAGCTGGACAGGGCTTCCGCGCGACGGCGAGGCAGCCGCAGGTGACGCCGAGGGGTTTGCGGCCGGGGCAGCGCGGCGCGGCGGGGCGGGCGACGAGAGGTGCAGGCCCGGCGAGAGCGGCGGAGCGGCGGAAGTCGAGTCGGCAGCGCGAGTCCGGAGGGCGTCGAGCTGCGCCTCAAGGCGGGCAATGGTGGCGGCCTGCTCCTCGTTGAGGAAGGAGGCGTCCTGGATGGAGGCGGTGAGGGCGGCGTTCTTTGCAATCCACTCGTCCTCGCGGCGGCGGAACTGGTTGCCCTGCTTGACCAGGGCGGCATGGAGCTCATTGTTGTCGTGCAGCAGACGCGAGTTCTCCTTGGCCAGCGGCTCGAGCTGAACCTGGGCCTTGCGGCCTTCGCGGTTGGCCGTATCGACGGCGGCTTGCAGGCGGGCGACCGAGGCCGTGGCCGAGACCAGGCCATCGAGCAAGTCGGCCACCACCGGGGCCGACTCGATGCCCACCACATTGTGGTAGCCCAGCGCATGGAGCTTGCTCCGCAGCTCTTCAAAGCCTGTCCGGTCGGGGCCTGTCATGGCTCCCGTTCGTCAGACGTGGTGCGGTGCGTGCGGTGTCGTCGTTTTGGCGCCAAAGGCCGAAAGCCAAAAGGCGGAAGGCGGGGAACGATGAAAATGGGGGGGAATGGGCGAAACGAACGATTATTGGGGGAAGGGGGGGGGGG